TAAAAAGATTTGCTTAGAAAGAGAATCTCAGGGCAGCCCACGTGGCTCAGCAGTTTAGCGCCACCTTCAGCCCAGGGCCCAATCCTAGAGACCTGCATGGAGCCTGCTCCTCTCTCTGCCCCCCTCTCTCTCTCTCTGTATGTGTGTGTGTCTTATGAATAAATAAATAAAATCTTTTTAAAAAAAATAGAAAGGGAATCTCAGGCAGACTCCGTGCTCAGTGTGGAGCCTGATGTGGGGCTTGACATTCCCCAGAATAGATCACAAATTGGGTCACAAATCAGTCCTCAACAGATACAGAAAGATTGAAGTAATACCATGTACTTTTTCTAACCATAGCGCTATGAAACTATAAGTCAACCACAAGAAAACATTTGGAAAGACCACAAATACATGGAGGTTAAACAACATGCTACTGAAGAGTGAATGGGTCAACCAGGAAATCAAATAAGAGATTTTTTAAAAATATATATATGGAAACTGGTGAAATGAAAACACGATGGTCCAAAACCTTTGGGATGCAGCAAAAGCAGTCCTACGAGGGAATTTTATAGTAATATCACCCTCCTCAAGAAGCAAGAAAAATCCCAAATAAATAGCCTAATCTTAAACCTAAAGGAGCTAGAAAAAAACAACAAATTAAGCCTAAAGCCAGAAGAAACAGGGAAATAATAACGATTAGAGCAGAAACTAAAAAAAAAAAAAAAAGAAATAGAAGATATCAATGAAGCCAGAAACTGTTTCTTGAAAAAAATAATAAAACTGATAAACTTCTAGCCAGATTTACTAAAAAGAAAATAGAAAAAGATCCAAATAAGAAAAATCACAAATGAGAGAGGAGAAATAACAACCAACTCCACAGAAATACAATCATAAGAGAATATTATGAAAAACTATATGCCAATAAATTGGACAACCTGGAAGAGATGGATAAATGCCCAGAAACATATAATGTACCAAAACTGAAACAGGAGGAAATAGAAAACTTGAACAGAAAAATAGTCAGCAAAGAAACTGAATCAGTAACCAAAAAAACTCCCAAAAAGCAGAAGTCCAGAGCCAGACGGCTTCAAGGCAAATTCTACCAAATATGTAAAGAAGAGTTAATACCTATTCTTCCCAAACTATTCCAAAAAAACAGAATAGGAAGGAAAATTTCCAAACTCATCCCATGAGGCCAGCATTATCCTGATACCAAAACCAGATAAAAACTCCACTAAAAAAGAGAACTATAAGCCAATATCCTCAATGAACATTGATGTAAAAATTCTCAGTAAGATACTAGCAAACCAAATCCAACAGTACATTAAAAAGATCATTCATGATGATTAAGAAAGATTTATCCCTAGGTTGCAAAAGTGGTTCAATATTTACAAATCAATCAATATGATACACCACAAGAGTAAAAGAAAGGGTAAGAATCATGTGATCTGGGATGCCTGGGTGGCTCAGCAGTTGAGCATCTGCCTTTGGCTCAGGGTGTGATCCTGGGACCTGGATTGAGTCCCACATCCGACTCCTTGCAGGAAACATGCATCTCCCTCTGCCTGTGTCTCTGCATCTCTCTCTCTGTGTGTGTCTCTCATGAAAAAATAAATAAAATCTTAGAAAAAAGAACCATATGATTTTTTTCAATAGATGGAGAAAAAGCATCTGAATGGACAAAGTATAGCGTCCATTCATGATAAAGACCCCCAACAAAGGAGGTTTAAAAGGAACTTACCTCAAATTAATAAAGGCAATCTATGAAAAACCCACAGCTAATATCATCTTCAATGAGGAAAAAGTGAGAGCTTTTCCTCTATGGTCAAGAACAAGATGAAGATGTCCACTCTCACCACTATCATTTAATGTAGTACTGGAAGCCCCGGCCATAGCAAGCAGACAACAAAAAGGAATAAAAGGCATGCAAATCAGCAAGGAAGTAGTAAAATTTTCACTATTTGCAGATGACATGATACTCTATATAGAAAACCTGAAAGACTCCACCAAAAATATATTCTAGAATGGATACATGAATTCAATAAAATCACAGAATACAAAATCAATGTATGTACAGAAATCTGTTGCATTTTTATACCAATAATGAAGCAGCAGAAAGAAATTAAGGAATCAATCCCATTTACAACCTCACTAAAAACAATAAGAATACTCAAAATAAGTCAGTCGAGAAGGCCAATACCTAGGAATAAGCCTAACCAAAGAAGTGAAAAATCTGTATTCTGAAAACTATAATACAATGATGAAAGAAATTTAAGATGACACAAAGAAATGGAAAGATTTCCCCTACTCATGGATTGGAAGAAACAATATTGTTACAATGTCAATACTACCCAAAGCAATCTACACATTTAATGCAGTCCCTATCAAAATATCAACAGCATTCTTTACAGAGCTAGAACAAATAACTCTATAATTTGTATGGGACCACGATAGACCCTGAATAGCCAAAGCAACTTTGAAAAACAAAGCAAAGCTGGAAAGGTAACAATTCCAGACTTTAAGTTACATTACAAAGTTGTGGTGATCAAGATAGTATGGTACTGGCACAAAAGTAGACATATAGATCAACAGAACACAATAGAAAACCCAGAAAGTAACCCACAACTGTATGGTCAATTAATGTTTGACAAAGCAGGAAAGAATATCCAATGGGGGAAAAGATAAATCTCTTCAACAAATGGTATTGGAATAGCTTCTCGGCCTTTTGGCTAAGATCAAGTGCAAATAGTATTGGAAAAACTGGACAACAACATGCAAAAAGTGAAACAGGACCACTTTCTTACACAAAAATAAAGTCAAAATAGATTAAAGACCTAAATGTGAGACCTGAAATCATAAAAACCCTAGAGGAGAACTCAAGCAGTAACCTCTTTGCCATGGGTCATAGCAATTTCTTTCTATATATGTCTCCTGAGGCAAGGGAAACAAAAGCAAAAATAAACTATTGGGACTTCATCAAAATAAAAAGCTCCCAGACGGTGAAGAATTCAATCAACAAAAAGAAAAGGCAACCTACACAATAGGAGAAGATACTTGCAAATGTCAAATCTGATATAGGATTGATATCCAAAATATATTAAGTACTTATAAAACTCAACACGAAAAATGAAATAGTCCATTAAAAATGGGAGGAAGACATGAATAGACATTTGTCCAAAGAAGATACCTAGATGGCCAACAGACACAAGAAATGATGCTCAACATCACTTATCATCAGGGAAATACAAATCAAAGCTACAATGACATATCACCTCACACCTGTCAAAATGGCTAAAATCAGCAACACAAGAAACAACAGGTGTTGGCGAGGATGGAAAAAGGCACCCTCTTGTGCTGTAGGTAGGAATGCAAACTGCTGCAGCCATCTCTGGAAAACAGTATGGAGTTTCTTCAAAAGGTAAAAAATAGAACCACCCTATGATTCAGCAATTGCATTACTGGGTTTTTACCCAAGAACACAAAGATACTAATTCAAAGAGATACATGCGACCTGATATTTATAGCAGCATTATCCACAATAGTCAAATTATGGAAACAGCCCAGCTGTCCACTGATTGCTGAATGGATAAAGAAGATGTGGGACCCCTGGCTGGCTCAGTTGGTAGAGCACATGACTCTTGATCTTGGGGTCATGAGTTCGGGCCCCACATTGGGTGTAGAGCTTACTTAAAAATAAATAAACAAAATAAACTTTTAAAAAAAGGTGTGGTATACACAATGGAATATTACTAAGTGTAAAAAAGAATGAAATCTTGCCATTTTCAACAACGTGGATGGAGCTACAGAGTATTATGCTACTACTCAAAATAAGTCAGAGAAGGCCAATACCATATGATTTCATTCATTTTGGAATTTAAGAAACAAAACAAATGAGCAAAGGGAAAAAGAAAGAGAGAGAGGCAAACCAAGAAACAGACTCTTAACAATGGAGAACAAACACATGGTTACAGTTACTGGGGGGGGGGGGGAGATACGTGGGAGATGGGTTAAATAGATGACAGGGATTACGGAGTCCACTTGTGTGTGACAAGTACCAGGTGTTGTATGAAAGTGTTAAATCACTAAATTGTACACCTAAAACTAACATAACACTGTATGTTAACTAACTGGAATTTAAATAAAAACTTCTTAAAGATCATATTTTATTTATTTGACAGAGAGAGAGAGTACAATCTGGGGAAGCAGCAGGCAAAGAGAGAGAGAGAAGCAGGCTCCCTACTCAGCAGGGAGCATGAGGTGGAGATGGATCCCAGGACCTTGAGATCAAGACCTAAGCTGAAGGCAGACACTCAACTCACTGAACCACACAGGCACCTCTATTATAAAACTTTTTTTTGAAAGATGAAGAAATATCTCTCCATGAAAAGCAACACATCAAATAAAATTCAAACATAAGAGACTTGGAGTGCCTGAGGAATGCAGATTTTTTATGAATTGCCTTGACCAAAGTGCAAATTCCCTTGAATTTCCGTTTAACTGCTATTTGCATCAAATGTAAAGAAATGAAAATTCTACAGAATTAATTAGAAAAAATGCTACTACTTATGCCAATTTAAAAATGTACCACAAATAGATATAATGTCTGATTCCAGGTTATATTAAGACTAATACCAACCAAAAATAGATAACGATTGTTAACAGAAATAATGAACAGATGTATATGAAGTAAATTTATTCAAATTTTTAAAATTGAAAAATGTAAAGAGAGGGATCCCTGGGTGGCGCAGCGGTTTAGCGCCTGCCTTTGGCCCAGGGCGCGATCCTGGAGACCCAGGATCGAATCCCACGTCGGGCTCCTGGTGCATGGAGCCTGCTTCTCCCTCACCCTGTGTCTCTGCCTCTCTCTCTCTCTCTCTCTCTCTCTCTCTCTCTCTCTGTGTGTGACTATCATAAATAAATAAAAATTTAAAAAAAGTTTAAAAAAAAATAAAAAAAAAGAAAAATGTAAAGAGAAATACTGGGAAAACACATTTAACATTTCAAGTATGTATTAACTGTTAATTATGAAAATTCAGACTCACCTTGGTACAACGCTCATCATTTAAATCTTGATGCTCATTCATATCACCCACTACTAGGCAGGGTGGATGACTGGGGCTGAAGGCCATGAGGTCGGCCTTGGGCGGGCCCTCCCCAGAGCACACCCTCTGCCGCCTCTGCTGCGAGTACGACCAGCTCCCCACCGCGCTGGAGCACACCAGCGTGGGCTTCCCCGGCCCGCACGCGCCCTCGCTGGGCGGCGCCGAGCACCGCAGCGCCGTGGACAGCAGCAGCGTGAGCACCAACAGGCTGGACACCGCGCAGATGGCGACGATCAGGTACACGTTGACGTCCACCAGCGCCGCGCCCGCGCCCGCGCCCGCGCCGCCCGCCAACACCCGCGACGACGGCCTGGGCGCCTGGCCGCTCTCCACCAGCGACAGCAGCACAGTGGCCGTGGCCGTCAGCGCCGGCTCGCCGTGGTCCTTCACCAGCACCAGCAGGCGCTGGCGCGGCGCGTCCGCCTCGTCCAGGGCGCGCGTCGTGCTGATCTCGCCCGTGTACAGCGCCACGCGGAACGGGCTGCGCGCGCCCCCCGCCGCCGGCTGCAGCTCGTACGACAGCCACGCGTTGTAGCCCGAGTCCGCGTCCACCGCGCGCACCTTGGCCACCACGTGGCCCGCGCCCACCGCCCGCGACACTGGCTCGCTCAGCGCGCCGCCCCCGCCGCGCGCCCCGGGCAGCGGCAGCAGCGCGGGCGCGTTGTCGTTCTCGTCCAGCACGAACACCTGCAGCGTCACGTTGCTGCCCAGGGGAGGCACGCCCGCGTCGCGCGCGCTCACTTGGAACTGCAGCAGCTCCAGCTCCTCGTGGTCCAGCGGCTGCAGCGCGTACACCTTGCCGCTCTCCGCGTGCACCGACACGTAGCTCGACAGCGCGCGCTCGCCCACGCGCCGCTCCACCAGCGAGTAGGACACCAGCGCGTTCTCCTGCGCGTCGGCGTCGCGCGCCGACACCGTGAAGATGTGGCAGCCGGGCGGGTTGTTCTCCTTCACGAACACCGTGTACTCGGGCTGCGCGAATGCCGGCGCGTTGTCGTTCACGTCGGCCACCTCCACGGACACGCTGGCCGTGGCCGACAGCGAAGGCGAGCCTCCGTCGCGTGCGGTCACTACCAGAGCGTAGTTCGCCACGCTCTCTCTGTCCAGGGCGCTGTCCAGCACCAGCGAATAGTAATTCTTGAAGGTGGACACCAGCTTGAAGGGGCCTTGGGGTGCTAGTGAGCAGGTCACCTGCCCGTTGGCGCCAGAGTCACGGTCGGACACGCTGATTAGGGCAATAACAGTACCTAATTGAGCGTCCTCTCGGATAGGCAAGGATAAGGAGGTCAATGCAATCTGGGGGACATTATCATTTATATCCAAAACTCTCAATACAACAGTGCAATGACCAGCCATGGGTGGGTGACCTTTGTCTGTCGCGTCAACACGAATTTTGTATAAATTTAATTTTTCAAAATCTAAATTCCCTTTAGTTACTATTTCTCCAGTATTTGGATCTATTCTAAACTGGTCACCAACCATGGCTGGAACAAGACTATTAAAAGAATAAGAAATCTCCCCATTCACTCCTTCATCGCGATCAGAAGCATTCAGTCTGATTACTACTGTTCCGTTACCCAAGTTTTCGAAGATCCTTACTTCATATTCAGTCTGTTCGAAACTGGGAGCATTGTCATTCACGTCCAGCACAGTGACCAACACCTGAACAGTACCAGTGAGCTCAGGTTTGCCTTCGTCAGTGGCTGTCAGCAGTAAGTTATGTTCGGGAACTTCCTCTCTGTCCAAGGATTTCCTTAATACGAGCCCAATCTGTGTATTGTCATCACTGTTTGTTTTCACATCTAGGGCGAAGTATTTACTAGAACTTAATTTATAGGTTAAGATGGAGTTTGAGCCAACGTCCGCATCTGACGCGCCCTCTAGTGGAAACAGAGAGTCTGGTAGCCTTGATTCGGAAATCCGCACTCTTTGTTCCTTTAAATGAAACACCGGCGCGTTGTCGTTAATGTCCTTCACCTCCACCTCCACATGGAAAACCTGCAGCGGTCTGTCCACGATCACCTCCAGATGGATGCTGCACTCCAGAGTCCTCCCACACAGCTCCTCCCGGTCGATCCGAGAATTCACAAACAAAATGCCATTCTGCAGATTTACCTCCAGAAGGTCCCCGTGGCCTTTGGACGCCAGTCGGAAAAGGCGCGGCACCAGCTCCGCCAGCTCCAGCCCCAGGTCCTGGGCGATGCGACCCACGAAGGTGCCGTGTTTGGCCTCCTCCGGGACCGAGTAGCGGACCTGGCCGCTCCCCGCCTTCCAGGCTGTGAGGATCAGAAGCGAAAGCAGCAGATGCTGAGATCCCAGTCGGCCTTCCAGGGTAATAACCATGTCAAATATTTGTTTTATTTCCATCAGATGATCTTGTCTCGAAATTAATATGAAATACTGTATGATCCCGAGTCTGTTAATGCAATTCTTCTGCGCCTGCCATTACTGAGCACTCGTGGAACCAAGAGGTAATCGGAGGAATGTATTTTGCATACTGTAATAAGTAGATTAACTTCATGGTAGACAGCGACATCATGCGGCTACAAAGGTAAGAAATGAATTCACATAACCGCGCTAAGCTGTAGTTCTTGAAGTTTAAAAAAAAAACCTGTTTTGCCTTACTTTAATAATAAATCTCCTTATATTTGCAATTTGAACTTTTTTTAAAATTTTTATTTATGATAGTGACAGAGAGAGAGAGAGGCAGAGGCATAGGCAGAGGGAGAAGCAGGCTCCATGCACCGGGAACCCGATATGGGATTCGATCCCGGGTCTCCAGGATCACACCCTGAGCCAAAGGCAGGCGCCAAACCGCTGCGCCACCCAGGGATCCCCTATATTTGCAATTTGAAGAGCCAGTTTCATCTCGTCTGATTTCTCTTACTAGTGTAGAGTAGGGTGAGGGATCAGATAATTCATCACAAAACTTCTCTTCCAATAATTTAATTACTGTTATTAATCAGTTCAGAAAATTTGTGATCTGAAGTAAGTCTGGGAATTCAAAGTGCAAACTATACTACACTCTGTGTAGAGAAGTACATACATATATTTCTGTTATAGGACATGCTATTATATTTTGCTCTGGGAAAATAATGTAATTTTGTTTATTTTTGAAAAGATTTTATTTATTCATTTTACGGGGAGAGAGAGCACAAGCAAGAGAAGCAGCAGGCAAAGGGAGAGGGAGGAGCAGGATCCCCAGTGAGCAAGCAGCCGGATGTGGGGCTTGATGTCAAGACCAGGGGATCATGACTTCAGCTGAAGGCAGATGCTGAAATGACTAGGATACCTAGTTGCCCCAAGAATATAATTTTAAGTTAACAAATTTTTTCCATATTTCTAAAATCTTATAGATTATCAAAGTCCATTCTTTCTTTGTTCAATGAATATGAAATACTCCGAAGACTGTTTCTTTTACTTAATAATGGAAGGTGAAATTTTTAGTGCATATTCTTTTTTAAAAATATTTCATTTATTTGAGAGAAAGAGATCATGGCAGGGGGTGAGGGGCAGAAGCAGAAACAGACTTCCTGCTGAGCTGGGAGCCTGAGATGGGACTCAGTCCCAGGACACTGGGATCATGACCTGAGGTGAATGAAGGCAGTTGCTTAACCAACTGAGCCACCTAGACACCCTCCCTTCTATGGTTCTAATTGTCATTTTCTTTTTTAAAAAAAGATTTTATTTATTTATTCATGAGAGAGTCAGAGACCTAGGCAGAGGGAGAAGCAGGCTCCATGCAGGAAACCCAATGTGGGACTCGATCTGGAGACTCCAGGATCATACCCCAAGGCAAAGGCAGATGCTCAACTGCTAAGCCAACCAAGTGTCCCTCTAATTGTCATTTTCCCCCATTCGTGCTAGAGACTCTCAGAAAATAATTTGATTACAATTTGAAGTTTATGAAGAGACATCACTTCAAACCCTTCAAATTCTCATTTTTCATTAATGGCATGAACATTCTACATGTCACCTATATGAAATTTTTATTAGTCCTCCTCCCTTACCTGCCCTATTCAAACAGTCGATCTGTCTTTTCACACACCACCATATTTATCTTCATCAGCACAATTATTGAATAACAATTAAAGGTAGAAATTCCATGACATTAGAGTCACTTCTACATGACCTGAGATGCGATCACAACCCAACATTTCCAGTGTTACTTATTTTTAACTACTCTCCAATGTGTTTTGGAGAAAATATAGATCACTTCCTTGTCTTCATTCTCTAGCACAACCTTTGTTTAAGTTGTTTCTAAAATTAATTCCATTTTTTACCTGTAAAAATGTTATCCTGATATCAAAATTCACTCCAAATGTCAATTTTACTGTAAATTCATCTGTAATGCCATCAACTGGAGATGATCAAACTCTTCCTCAAAATGAAAATCACAAAAAAAGACTTTTCAAATGGTCTTATGCCAACGCCCACCCCCCGAAGTTCTGATATACTTGTAAAATCCTCACAGACAACTAATACAGAGAAGCTGTATTAATACAACTAATACTATGAGAAGCTTCATCTTAAACTAATTAACCCAGATCTGTGTAATACTCTCTATCACTGAATTTCCATTGCTGTCATTTTGGGTAAATAAACAGTTCATGTGCTAACCAATAATATCCCCCCAAATGAAATTTCCCTTTGCTTCCAGGAAGATAAGCCTTAACAAAAAGATATATTAGTTGGCAGAGTTTTTAAAAAGCCCAATGCAGTGCTTGAACTCAAGACCCTGAGATTAAGACCTGAACTGAGATCAAGAGTCCAAGGCTTAAACAACTGAGCCACCCAGGTGCTCCTAGCTTGTAGTCTTATTGTTGAAAGTTTTCTATAGTGGTTAGGATTTTCATAAATTTTGAGCTATGTGAAGAGTCTCTTCAAATTTCAACTTTAAAATTAGCTAATTAAATTTAACTATCAAATCTCTATTGCAGTTCCTAGCAATTTCTGGAAGAGTGATATGATATCTAATCCAATTAATAGGGATAGTTGTAATAATCCTATTTATTGGCCCCTGGTAGAAAATTATGCAATGTTACTGAAATCCTTCCTGTTAAATAAACATGGAAAAGGAAAATATTGGTCTTTTCATAAGAAACAGTTTACATATTTGTTCATTTATTTCCTCAAATAGTTCATTCCAATCAAGGAAGACTGCGTAGAGAAAAACTTTAATCAATTTATGGACAGCTTCCTCTCCCAGCAAATAAATATTTTAGTTATAAATCAAAGAATTTATATTTTACAACTAAATTAACTTAATTTTTTTAAAAGCTGACAAGTGTTAACTATAAATTTAGTGGCGGGAATTCCCTCTCAATTTATAGGACTTCCTCAAAGTAATAGGGCAGTAGAAATACTTAAATACTATGACACAAGTATATTTATAAAATTAAATACATGTGAGAATGCAAGAAATAGCCAAAGTAATAAAAAGGAAATAAACATTTTATCATATGAAATGTGGAATATTTATTACCTTCTAGACCCACATTGTTTTTTGAAGAAGTGCAGAAAAACAATTATGTGTATTTAAGACAGAGAGAGATCTTGCCTCTGGTAGAATCAAATGTACAGCTTTGTTTTAAAGAATTGTATTGGTAAACAACAAACCCAAGAGGGGATTATGTATCATGGTGTTGGTTTTTAAATCTGAAAACAAAAAGCAACAACAAAAACAACAAAAAACAATAAAGAACATGGTCAATAATTTCTTTTACATCGGCTATGGCAACATTTTTCTAGATGTCTCCTGAGGCCAGGAAAATAAAAGTGAATTTAAACTATTGGAGCCACATCAAAATAAAAAGCTTCTGCATAGCAAAGGACACAAAAAAACTAAAGGATGACCAACTGAATGGGAGAAGGTATTTGTAAACGACATATCCAATAAAGGGTTAGTATCCAAAGATATAAAGAACTTATACAAGTCAACATCTAAAAAGCAAATAATCCAAATAATCCAATTAAAACTGGGCAGAAAACATGAACAGACATTTCTCCTCCAAAGAAGATATCCAGATGGCCAACAGACACATAAAAAGATGCTCAACATCACTCATCATCAGGGAAATGCAAATCAAAGCTACAATGAGATGTCACATTATACCTGTCAGAATGGCTAAAATCAACACAAGAAACAACAGGCATTAGTGAGGATATGGATAAAAAGGAACTCTCATGCACTGTTGGTGAGAATGCAAACTGGTGCAGCCACTTTGGAAGACTCTATGGATATTCCTCAAAAAATTAAAAATAGAACTACCACATGATTCAGTAATTTCACTACTGGGCATTTACCCAAAGAACATGAACACTATGCTGAAGGGATATATGCACCCCTGTGTTTATTGCAGCATTATTTACAATGGCCAAATTTCAAAAGCACCTCAAGTGACTATCAAAAGATGAATGGATAATGAAAATGTTATATATATATATATATATATATATATATATATATATATATACACACACACACACACAATGAAATATTACTCAGCCATAAAAAACATCTTGCTATTAGCAATAACACGGATGGATCCAGAGAGTATAATGCTAAGTGAAATAAGTCAGAGAAAGACAAATACCATATGATTTCAGTGAGAAAACAAATGAACAAAGAAAAAAAAAGGGACAAACCAAAAAACAGACTCTTAACTATAGGGAACAAACTGATAGTTACCAGAGTGGAGGTGGATGAGGTGATGGGTGAAATAGGGGATTAAGAGTACATTTGTCATGAGGAGTACTGAATAATGTATAGAAGTGCTGAATCACAATATTGTACATCCGAAACTAACATAACACTGTCATTACATACATACATACATATGCACATAGATAAACTCATCATTGTGGTTCTAAGGCAAGACCCATTTTAAAGGAGTCTAGAAGATTTTTGCTGGTGAATTTTGTTATTGAAGCTTAGAACAGTATTAGATAATGATTCAGTCTTATCTAAGTATAATAAATTGCTAGGTTTTATTTAATTTCAGGCAGTCTACTTTTGCCAAGTTTGTGAAAGACCTACACATTGCTAAACTCTGTAAGAAATATGATGCAAGCCAATGGACAATTAAGAATTTCAAGTAGCCATATTTTATTTTATTTATTTTTTATTCATGAAAGAACTTGTTTTAAATGATTTTATTTATTTATTCACAGAGAGAGAGAGTCAGAGACACAGGCAGAGGGAGAAGCAGGCTCCATGCAGGGAGCCTGACGTGGGACTTGATCCTGGATCCCCAGGACCACACCCTGGGCTGAAGACAACGCTAAATCGCTGAGCCACCCGGGCTGCCCAAGTAGCCATATTTTAAAAATAATCTCTACACCCAACGTGTGTCTCAAACTCACAACCCTGAGATCAAGAGTCATGCACTCTACCTACTGAGCCAGCCAGGTGTCCCTTAGTAACCCTATATTTTTTAAATTAGAGACAGAGAGAACGTGGTGGGTCAAGAAGGGGAGGATAAGGCAGAGGGAGAGAGAGAATACCAAGCTCAAAATTGCTTCTAAAATAATAATTTGTCAATCAAAAAAATACAAGTCAGAGAAAAGTTAATCACTGTTTCACTAAGTATTGATGTTTGAGTAAGTGAAAAAATTATATGTCTCAAAATGGGGCATCATAAATCTGGAAAAAATAAGAAACCTCACATACTGATATATCATGACTATTCAATAAAAAAAATAAGAGGAAAAGTGATATGACTATTATGTTTTAAAATAGAAGAGAGGAATTTTAAAAAAAAAGAAGAGAGGTTTTTATTTGTATGTAAAAATAACTGTAGAAAACTAACCAAGAAATTGCAATGTTTGAAATAGTCAAGGAACACTGGGCACCGGGCTGACTCAGTCAGTAGTGCATGTGACTCTTGTCTTATGGTTGTGAGTTCAAATTCTGACCTTGGGAGTAGAAATTAGTTAAAAATAAGAACCTGAGGGCAGCCCCCGTGGCCAGGCGATTTAGCGCCGCCTTCAGCCCAGGGTGAGATCTTGGAGTCCCTGGATCCAATCCCATGTCCCGCTTCCTGCATGGAGCCTGCTTCTCCCTATGCCTGTGTCTCTGCCTCTCTCTCTCTCTCTCTCATGAATAAATAAAATCTTTTAAAAAATAAAATAAAAATAAGAACCTTAGAAATAGTTAAGGAGGTATATTAAGTGGCTTTGATAAGCCAATGCATAACATGTAAGTGTATTTCGTATTCAAAGATAAATGAAGTCCCTACAGTTAAAAAATCATAAATATCAAATTCATCATAAGTATGCAAAAGCCAATCGTTAAGAGAAACCTGAAAAGAATCATTCAGTGTACAAATGTTACTTACAAAGGAAATTAAATTGGTGTAATAATAAAAACACTAAGAAAATGGTATTTAATGTAAAAGAAAAGGCAAAATGACATAGTGTTATTAAAACACTTCATTGTGGTTGTAATATGAGATTTGAAAGTAAATAACTCCAAACATGTCATGCAAGTATCTTCCTACATTTCCCAAAGATTGAAAATTAAAATGCTTATTAAAAATTTAATTCAGGAAACAATTTTTATGGTGCAAAGAAAAGTAATACATTCACACCAACTTTTAAAATCTTTTAAAAATGTTGGCAAATTGAAATTAAATGTAAAAATGTGAAAAAAAATAATGAGAAAATCTTTTAAAAGTGGGAATGTTACTGAAATAAATTCATTACTGCAAAGCGATCATCTGCAACCAATTAAAATGAATTCTATGCATAACTGTAATTTTAAGTAAATGAAGTAGTACCAATACAGAATTTACATCTAAAATGATGAGACGATAATCATATATAAAACCATAATTTAAAAGAAGAAAACAATAGAGGAAACAATAAACACTTATAACGAAAATTATTTTGAAAAATATTTTTAACACTCACAAGGTCTGCGGAGCTGGGTCCATGAGGTAGGCTGGGGCTGAAGGCCATGAGGTCGGCCTTGGGCGGGCCCTCCCCAGAGCACACCCTCTGCCGCCTCTGCTGCGAGTACGACCAGCTCCCCACCGCGCTGGAGCACACCAGCGTGGGCTTCCCCGGCCCGCACGCGCCCTCGCTGGGCGGCGCCGAGCACCGCAGCGCCGTGGACAGCAGCAGCGTGAGCACCAACAGGCTGGACACCGCGCAGATGGCGACGATCAGGTACACGTTGACGTCCACCAGCGCCGCGCCCGCGCCCGCGCCCGCGCCGCCCGCCAACACCCGCGACGACGGCCTGGGCGCCTGGCCGCTCTCCACCAGCGACAGCAGCACAGTGGCCGTGGCCGTCAGCGCCGGCTCGCCGTGGTCCTTCACCAGCACCAGCAGGCGCTGGCGCGGCGCGTCCGCCTCGTCCAGGGCGCGCGTCGTGCTGATCTCGCCCGTGTACAGCGCCACGCGGAACGGGCTGCGCGCGCCCCCCGCCGCCGGCTGCAGCTCGTACGACAGCCACGCGTTGTAGCCCGAGTCCGCGTCCACCGCGCGCACCTTGGCCACCACGTGGCCCGCGCCCACCGCCCTCGACACCGGCTCGCTCAGCGCGCCGCCCCCGCCGCGCGCCCCGGGCAGCGGCAGCAGCGCGGGCGCGTTGTCGTTCTCGTCCAGCACGAACACCTGCAGCGTCACGTTGCTGCCCAGGGGAGGCACGCCCGCGTCGCGCGCGCTCACTTGGAACTGCAGCAGCTCCAGCTCCTCGTGGTCCAGCGGCTGCAGCGCGTACACCTTGCCGCTCTCCGCGTGCACCGACACGTAGCTCGACAGCGCGCGCTCGCCCACGCGCCGCTCCACCAGCGAGTAGGACACCAGCGCGTTCTCCTGCGCGTCGGCGTCGCGCGCCGACACCGTGAAGATGTGGCAGCCGGGCGGGTTGTTCTCCTTCACGAACACCGTGTACTCGGGCTGCGCGAATGCCGGCGCGTTGTCGTTCACGTCGGCCACCTCCACGGACACGCTGGCCGTGGCCGACAGCGAAGGCGAGCCTCCGTCGCGTGCGGTCACTACCAGAGCGTAGTTCGCCACGCTCTCTCTGTCCAGGGCGCTGTCCAGCACCAGCGAATAGTAATTCTTGAAGGTGGACACCAGCTTGAAGGGGCCTTGGGGTGCTAGTGAGCAGGTCACCTGCCCGTTGGCGCCAGAGTCACGGTCGGACAGACTGATCAGGGCGATGATGGTTCCTACTGAAGCGTCCTCTTGCACCGGCAGGGATATGGAGGTTATGACCATCTCTGGGGTATTATCATTCTCATCCAGGAGTTTTACTATTACTTTGCAGTGTCCAGTTAATGGGAATGGACTTCTATCTACAGCATCGATATTAATTTCATATAAATTACAATCTTCATAATCCAGTTCTCCCTTTACTGTTATTTCTCCACTATTCGAATCGATTATAAATTTAGATTTGACGTTGTCAAGAACAAGATTACTAAAGAGATACAGTATTTCCTTATTAATGCCCTCATCCGCATCTGAGGCATTCAGCTTAATAACTAATGTCCCATTCGGTGCATTTTCTAGTAATCGGATATTATAAATTGATTTATCAAATTTTGGGGCGTTATCATTCGCATCCAATACATTGATCAATAATTGAACTGTACCTGTTAGTTCAGGTTTTCCTCCATCAATTGCAGTCAGTAATAAAAGATGTTCTTGAATCTCTTCTCGATCTACTGCTTTCTTCAAGACTAGCTCTAAAATGTTTGTTTCTTCTTCATTTGCTTTAACATCCAAGTCAAAATATTCATTAGGATTTAATTTGTATCTCAATTCTGCATTTGCTCCAACATCCATATCAGATGCACCCTCAAGTGGAAACCGAGAATCCACTATTCTTGATTCTAAAATAAATAATCTTTGTTCCTGTCGGAAGAACCTGGGCGGGTTGTCATTAATGTCCTTCACCTCCACCTCCACATGGAAAACCTGCAGCGGCCTGTCCACGATCACCTCCAGGTGGATGCTGCACTCCGCGCTCCGCCCGCACAGCTCCTCCCGGTCGATCCGAGAATTCACAAACAAAATGCCATTCTGCAGATTCACCTCCAGAAGGTTCCCGTGGCCTTTGGACGCCAGTCGGAAAAGGCGCGGCACCAGCTCCGCCAGCTCCAGCCCCAGGTCCTGGGCGATGCGGCCCACGAAGGTGCCGTGTTTGGTCTCCTCCGGGACCGAGTAGCGGACCTGGCCGCTAACGGACTCCCGGACTGAGAGGAGCAGAAGCGAGAGCAGCAGGCGCCAGGAACCTGGACTTCTCTTGGAATATACCATCGCTAATTCGTTGCAATTTTCAAATGTCTGTTGCACTACCACACGATAGCTTTTGGAAACCTAATTCCCAATTAGCCATAATATTTTATTTGCTCACCTTTTCAGCTTCAGCAGCAGAGTAAAAAATGGAGTAGCCTTCTCCTTTCTAAGGAAAATAAACTCACTGTATTCCGTTATTGGGGGAAGAAAAAAAAAAGCCAACCACCAAACTTGCGGTTTCCAGCGCCACCATGTGGATGAAAAGGTGAGTTTTTACTTTGTTATGCCTTACCTACCTTACATTAGTCAAATATTTCCCAATTTCAGCGACTTTTAGGTATTCTTTATTTTCCTTATTTCTAATTTAAATACACCATTAAGATTATAATAAAGACATCAGTATTCATTAAAACAGTGCAAAATCAATACGATTTGTTCATGCCACACCGATTTTTATTAGAGTAATTTGTATTGGTCTATTCTATTTAGGGAGTGGCTTTATATAATTCCTAACTGAAATTAAAGGTATTAGTTTTCATTTACTGCAAAATTTAGACATATATTATTCAATTTCTCGAGTATTTTCTATTGTTTTCATGGGATGTTTGTACACTACTTCTGTGTTACTCATGAAACAAATTTCAGTCCTATTTGCAAGCATTTGATATTGGCTTTTTGTGGATGTTATTTTCAAAGTAACAAACGATTTGAATAGCATTCTTGTCAGAGTTACTGGTTTGAAGTCTGATATTTTAATGGCTAAAACTCCATTCTTTAATTTCTCCTTACATCACATACTTTTAATGTTGACTATAAAATGATAATGTGGACATTTACATTTTCTAGAGGCCAAGATCATAGTAAAAACAATTTTGGTCAGTATCTTGACACCATTTTTCATATTAGATGCATCTAGGCAGCATTTTTTTCAACTTACAACTACTGATAAATCACAATTGATATAAACTGGGATGCCTGGGTGGCTCAACGGTTTGGCACCTGCCTTCGTCCCAGAGTGTGATCTTGAAGACACAGGATCGAGTCCCACATCAGGCTCCCTGCATGGAGCCTGTGCCTGTGTCTCTGCCTCTTTCTCTGTGTCTCTCATGAATAAATAAATAAAATCTTAAAAAAACAATTGATATAAACTGTGACAGTATAGATCTTTGCTTTTATGCAGCAAATCAAAACACTAATTTTTTTGTAGATGTACTACTCTATAAAACGTTTGGGTTCCAGTAAAAATTAAAACATTGAAAATAAACCACATTATTAACTGGACTATGTTAATTTTCTCTCTTTTTAATTGTTTGATTTACTGCATGATACAACATAGACTTACTTATAAATATGGTCAGAAGATAATTTCCCAGAAGAAAATGTCACCAAGTTTTTCCACTGAAAAAAAAATTAACCTGTTTATATATTCCCTAGAATTCCTTAAATATTACAAAATCCTCCTTACCTATGAAGACACTGGGTCTAGGAGATCAATAATTTTATTACTTGACACATTTTCATGTAAAACATAAACTTCAAATATATCCCTTAATTTTGGTTTAAGTTGTATGTGAGACTTGAAGTATTATTTTTGTGTCAATGTATAAAACAAATGTGGAAAAATAGTAATATAAATAGCAAGAAGAAAAAGAATAAATTACTAGAAAGTACAAAATCAACTGAAATACATTTGCTTCCCAGTATTCAAAGTAGTAAAGAAGTACAATAATGATACTGGTTTCATTGCTTATATAATATTTAACAGTACGTTTATCATTCCCTTTAGTTTTTCTAAGATTCTTACTCTGCCTACTAATATGATGTCCCCCACAGCACTCAGATCACCCAAACACTGAAGAATCTGAATGCTAATAAATTTTCAAGATTCTTATTATCTGTATCCGTATCATTATCTGCAACTGATGATAATTTGAAAACATTCTAATATACACCAGTTTAAAAATGATAACAACTGTGTTGAAAATATCACCAGTTAAGGTTGATTTACCTTCTATTAGAGAAATATGACTGATGGGAAACTCCAAAACCACAGTATAAATAAATTTACTTTTGGAAAAAGTATTTAACAGTCAAACTGACAGTGTATGTTAACTATGTATGCATAGTGACTTATAGGATATTTTCAGTATGTAATTCAACGTTTTGAAAATATGCACAATGGAAAAAATGGCACCAACAGTATGACATGCTTCTTTTGGTTTGTAATTTTTCTAATAAATATATAGATATTTCAAAAGAAAACAAGAATCTTGACATTTGACCCATCCTCGCATCTGTTAGATAACATTAAGTTTTTGAATTATCACTTGCATTTGTCTTTCAATGTTCAACTATTTGGGGGGAGGTTAAGTCTCAACAACTATAAATTCTCTGGTCTTGATTCCATAGACAACTCCATAGGTAGAGAATATTCCTTAAATCTTTTTCCAAACTATTCTTTCAATCAATTATTATATATTACCTTAACTGATCTTTTCACTTGCTTGTTTCATTAAAAATTTTAGTTATATTTAAGCCTTGTTACAGAAATTAAACTCCCTCACTGACAATGAATTTAGGTTGAAAAAACCAGATAGAGTTTTGAGGCATCTCTACTTAATAGGAAGCATTCCAAAATGTTACACTAGAAAATTTAATTTTGAATTTGAGTCTAGATGTCCTTCATTACCTACAAAACTCCAGAATAGGGGCACCTGGGTGCCTCAGCCAGTTGAGTGTCTACCTTCAGCTCAGGTCATGATCTTGGGTCCTGGGATGGACCAAAGGCCCAGGTCCACAGCCCAGGTCAGACTCCCTGCTCAGTGGGATGTCTGCTTGTTCCTTTCCTTCTGCCTCTCCCCCAAATCTCCTACTCATGCTTTCTCTGTCTCTCTCTTTAATAAATAAAATCTTTTTAAAAACTGCCAGAATTAATTTTTAAGAAGTTATATTTCCCTTCTTTCTGTAAAAATTTACATAGGTCTACCACACTGCCCAGAAATAACAGGTGAAGTTGAAGCATTCTTTTATAAATCTTTTAAAGATTTATAAATAATTTAGGTAGCTGTATCAAATTTGACTAAAAAATTAATTATGAAAAATTATGAGAACATATTAGTGCATATAATATATATCTTTACATTACTTTTTTAATGGTTCATATTCTGTATAAAATACTGTGCTAAAATATTCATTATTTATATCCATTCTGGGGAGAAAAATCTGAGAGTAATTTCAAAATACTTCTAAGTGAAAAAGTAAAGTACATTATATATAGTTTTTACTCACAATCCTATTGCCTTTATCACCATCAAATAGGCTCATTTAAAAGTAGAAAGTGACAATAAAGCTAAAATTTAATACTTTTGGTTCTATTATCTGTTATCAAATTAATATCCATGTGGCCTCAAGCAAGTTGTTTTACGTCTCTCAGCCACAGTTTATTCACCATCTAATTGTGGGAAATTATGATCTTTTAGGTCATATTCAATTTTAAAATCCTAGGTCAAGTGAGAAGAAACTTGCTGAGGTGCAAGATTCTTATAGCATTAGCCAGTGTCCAGGGTAAAAAAAAAAGAAAGAAAGAAAGAAAGAAAGGTAACTAACAGTAATAAACTTCAATAAGCTTTGTTCTCATGACTTAGTGGTGAGGAGAAAGAAACAAAATTTCAGATAAAGTACAAAATTTTTATTCTACTAACTGTATTTAATTTACTACAAAATAGAACCAGAGAGTGAGTGGTAAAAAATATTCAGAAGATTTGTAATACTAGACATCATTAAAATAGATAAGAAAGGAAAAGAAAACATATTTATTTCAATTAAAACTTTTCCATAAATGCCCTAAATCTGTATCTGTGAGATATTTATGCTATCCATCTTTTAAGGACTATAATGACATCTACAGCAACTATACCTTCTCAAGCACAATATCCAGAAATCACTACAAAATGATCCGGCTTACCAACAAGAACATAATGAGAAAAAAAATCACAAGAAAAGAGGCACACATATTATCTAATTATTATGGTTAGATAGAGCACAAATAAACTGTGATTACATATTATTACATATTGAAATAAATACATTAAATAATTTCACCAGAAAACTGAAATCTATTTTCAAAAGGAAAACTACAATTCTAAAGCTAAAAATTTTCACAATTGAAGTTTTGATTCCATTAATGATATTAATAGTAGATTGTAAGAAGGGAAAAATGGTAAATTAGAAGATTGGTCAGAATAAATATCCAGCATGTAATAAATAGATCAAAAATACCTTCAAAAAACAGAAAGGAACATAGAATATATGAGAGCTAAGGTGAAAATATTTCACACACATAGCCCTTGAGTTACAGAAAAGGAGGGTAAAAAAACATGATGCAGAAGTGATATTTGAAGGCAAACTGCTGAAATTTTTTCTGTACTGATGAAAGATACCAAGCCACATATCCAAGAAGCTTTCAATACTGCAAAGAGGATAAATCAAAGAAAACTAAAACTGAGCATATAATAAAGAAACTGAAAATCAAAAACAAAGATAATTATAAAAAACAGCTGGAAGAAAAGAAAAAAAAGGCACACTACCCGGAAAATAATCTTAACAGCCATTTATTTCAAGAATGGCATTCATTCCAGGGATGTCATCTTAAAAGTGCTTGGGAAAAAATATTTCAAACCCAGAATTTGATAACTCTGCAAAACTACTTTTCAAAAGTGATAATGAAATAAGCATATTTCTGATATGCAAAAAAAGTTGGAGAATTCTTTCAACCACTAAAGGAAATATTAAAGAATTTCTTCAGGATAAAAATAATTACAGAAAGAAACAAAAACAAAAGTAACTGTACAAAACATAATAATTATGTAATCTGTACCTAAAATAAATGTAAAACTGAAAAACATAACACCAAACAAAAGTGGGAAATAGAGTTATTATTCAAGGTCCTAGCTTGTCTGAAAGCAGTAAAAGCACTAATTTAAGTTCTAAAAACTCAGTGATGCTTGCTTTTAAAATCCAGGAAATCAATAAAGAAATTAGCAAAAGAATGTACTGTATAACTGCAAAGATAATAGAGAAAATGAGTAATTAAAATATACTAACCCAGATAAAAACAAAAAAGGAAGAGAAATAGGAATTTTTAAGATTTTTTAAAAACTATACAAAACATAATTAGTGATAAATTATTTTTTTACAAGATTTTATCTATTTATTTGGGAGAGTGTTGGGGAGAGAGAGAGAAAGAAGGAGCAAGGGGAGGGCCAGAGGGAAAAGCAGGAGCAGAGCTGGTCTTGGGACTTGATCCCTGGACTCTGGGGTCATGACTTGAGCAGAAGGCAAACACTTAATGGACTGAGCCACTCAGGCATGCCAATGATAAATTATTTAAAATTTTCCTTTGACTTCATAAATAGTCAAGGTTGCTTACTATTGCCATTTCTATTTACCATAATACTAGTGGTCCAATTCAATGCCATTAAAGCACATAAAAGATATAATGGGAATAAGAATTGGGAAGGAAAAAGCTACAGCTATCATTATTTATTGTCAGCATGATTGTCTATATTGAAAAATACAAAGCACCTAAAGATAAATTATTAGAATCAAAAGCAATTTTAACAAGTTAGCTGAATAATATTTCAATACAAAAACACACACTATATTCATATGTATCATTTTTTATTTTGAGAGAGAGAGAGCAGGAGTGAGTAGGGGAGGGGCACAAGGAGAGGGAGACAGAAACCTAAGCAGGCTCCACACTCAGCATAGAGCCTGATGTGGGACCGGATCTTGGGACCTCAGGATTCCCGACTGAGGTACTCAGGCACCCCCTGCTTCACATTTCTAAACAGATTCAATGCAATCCAAATAAAAATCTCACCAAATTGTTCTTATGGAATTTATGTACAAATTTAGGTGTAAGTGAAAGAGGCAACATGGCACTGATATAAAAAGTTTTTTAAAAAGTCTAGTAGATTAGAACAGCAAAAAAGATCAGACTTATAGAATGGATAATTATTTTGTAAAAACATATGAAATGCATTTTTAAGAAATAGTGTTGCTTCAGTTGAAAGTCACTTGGGAGGAATGAATCTTGACCCCTATGTCATAAAAGACAAAAAAAATTGGAAAAGGATTGTATATGTAACAAGAATATGAACAAAAATACCAAAGAAATTACCTTCATTAAACAAAATGAAGATGAAAAGATTGATAAATTGAACTTAACTAGAATTAAAAATTTTTATTCACCAAAAAAAAACTAATGAAGACAAGCAGAGTATATAGCAAGAAAGGTGTTATATCCATAATAAAGGAAAAATTGAAAAACAATAGAAAATGCACCACAATAGAAAAATAGGCATAGGGCAGCCCTGGTGGCTCAGCAATTTAGCACCGCCTTCAGCCCAGGGTGTGATCATGGAGACTCCAGATCCGATCAAGTCCCACGTCAGGCTCCCTGCATGGAGCCTGCTTCTCCCTCTGCCTGTGTCTCTGTCTCTCTCTCTCTGCCTCTCATGAATAAGTAAATAAAATCTTTCTTTAAAAAAAATAGGCATAGACTTGAACAGCTGTTATACAAAATAAGATGTAAAAAATGGCTGATAATAAAGAAAGGGGCTCAACTTCATTCATAAATCAGGAAATATAAAATGGAAACACTAAACATACCCAGCAAAATGGCAACTATGTAAACAATCTGATAATGGCATATTTTGGAGATGATATAAAGCAATACACTACCAACACAAGTGTAAATGGGTAAAAACACTTGAGAAGGCTGATATAGTCAAGATGAATGTGTGTACATATTTTATGTTCTACTAATTTCAATCCTATTAAATAGTAGAGAAAACTGCATACATAGGCACTGAACATTTTAAAAATATATTTATGGCACATTATTTGAAAAAGATGTAAGGACAAACAATGCAAAATCCTCAACAGTGAGATAATGAACTCATACTATGGTCATAAAATAAACTACTGGAGAGAAAACAAATTAAATGAACTCCAACTACACAAGGCAATATGGATGATTCCATAGAATGATGAACGATAATATAAAGAACACATAAACACTGTCACACACTAACACATGTAGTGCACTTCCATTTAGATAGTTTAGGAAACAAGTAAAAATTAATAACAGCTATAAAATTAAGACTGGGTACGTTTAAGAACAAAAAAGGGAGAGTGATTTGGAGGTGCATTTAAGTACCTTCTTAAAGAAATCGAAGTAACATAAGCTTTCACTTTCAAATAATTGACTGAGTTATATCATTACATTTGAGAAATTTTCGATGTATATAGGCAAATAAGACGAAAACGTTCTCTTAAAAGTTGATTACAACTGAAAATAAATAGGTGAAGATAAGCACATAATTTATAATACTAGTTAAATAAATATGCAATGAATAATGAATTTTTAAAACAACAAATATTGCCTTGGGGCCCTATAATACTAAAAGATATTAGCTAAAATTAATATATAAGACATAAAGAAACACATCAGAAATTTCACTCTGAACTTTCTTTTAATTAGGAAGAAACTGATAGGAAAAAAGGAAAATAAAATTTTAGATTAAATAATTCAGATTCAATAAAAGATATTTAAAACTAACCTTTGAAAGGGAATCTCCTGTTGCTGACTGCAGATCCTCTTTGTCCCTAGAGTCAGGTACATTGGGGCTGAAGGCCATGAGGTCGGCCTTGGGCGGGCCCTCCCCAGAGCACACCCTCTGCCGCCTCTGCTGCGAGTACGACCAGCTCCCCACCGCGCTGGAGCACACCAGCGTGGGCTTCCCCGGCCCGCACGCGCCCTCGCTGGGCGGCGCCGAGCACCGCAGCGCCGTGGACAGCAGCAGCGTGAGCACCAACAGGCTGGACACCGCGCAGATGGCGACGATCAGGTACACGTTGACGTCCACCAGCGCCGCGCCCGCGCCCGCGCCCGCGCCCGCGCCGCCCGCCAACACCCGCGACGACGGCCTGGGCGCCTGGCCGCTCTCCACCAGCGACAGCAGCACAGTGGCCGTGGCCGTCAGCGCCGGCTCGCCGTGGTCCTTCACCAGCACCAGCAGGCGCTGGCGCGGCGCGTCCGCCTCGTCCAGGGCGCGCGTCGTGCTGATCTCGCCCGTGTACAGCGCCACGCGGAACGGGCTGCGCGCGCCCCCCGCCGCCGGCTGCAGCTCGTACGACAGCCACGCGTTGTAGCCCGAGTCCGCGTCCACCGCGCGCACCTTGGCCACCACGTGGCCCGCGCCCACCGCCCTCGACACCGGCTCGCTCAGCGCGCCGCCCCCGCCGCGCGCCCCGGGCAGCGGCAGCAGCGCGGGCGCGTTGTCGTTCTCGTCCAGCACGAACACCTGCAGCGTCACGTTGCTGCCCAGGGGAGGCACGCCCGCGTCGCGCGCGCTCACTTGGAACTGCAGCAGCTCCAGCTCCTCGTGGTCCAGCGGCTGCAGCGCGTACACCTTGCCGCTCTCCGCGTGCACCGACACGTAGCTCGACAGCGCGCGCTCGCCCACGCGCCGCTCCACCAGCGAGTAGGACACCAGCGCGTTCTCCTGCGCGTCGGCGTCGCGCGCCGACACCGTGAAGATGTGGCAGCCGGGCGGGTTGTTCTCCTTCACGAACACCGTGTACTCGGGCTGCGCGAATGCCGGCGCGTTGTCGTTCACGTCGGCCACCTCCACGGACACGCTGGCCGTGGCCGACAGCGAAGGCGAGCCTCCGTCGCGTGCGGTCACTACCAGAGCGTAGTTCGCCACGCTCTCTCTGTCCAGGGCGCTGTCCAGCACCAGCGAATAGTAATTCTTGAAGGTGGACACCAGCTTGAAGGGGCCTTGGGGTGCTAGTGAGCAGGTCACCTGCCCGTTGGCGCCAGAGTCACGGTCGGACACGCTGATTAGCGCGATTACTGTGCCTAATGGAGCGTCTTCTCTGACTGGAAGCGACAGAGACTTGAATTCCATTACTGGGACATTATCGTTGGTGTCCTCAACTTCCACCATAACTGTACAATGGCCAGAGAGTGGGGGTTGTCCTTTATCAATACCCTCTACAAGAATTTCATAGGATTTGCTTTCTTCAAAATCGATATATCCCTTTACCATAAGTTCTCCGGTAATTGGATCTAGGTAAAACTTGGATTCCACATTTGGTAAAATATCAGTTGAGAATGAATAAATAATGTCCGCATTCGAGCCTTCATCTAAATCTGAGGCGTTAAGTTTCATTACCAGCGTTCCATTAGGAACATTTTCTGGTAATTTCACGGCATAGAGTGTTTTGTCGAAAGCTGGGGCGTTGTCATTGGCGTCCAGCACTTTGACGAGTAACTGAACGGTGCCAGTCAGCTCAGGTTTGCCTCTGTCAGTGGCCGTGAGCAATAAATGAAGTTCCGGAGATTGCTCCCTGTCTAAAGGCTTCCTTAACATTAGCCCAAGATGTTTCACCCGCTCGTCTTCGGACGGTTTATCAAGGGAGAAATACTCATTGGGGCTCAACGTGTAGGTCAGCATAGCGTTGGCCCGGATATCTGCATCAGATGCGCCCTCTAGTGGAATCCGAGAGTTAATAGGCCTGGATTCCGCCATAAATAGATTCTTTTGTGTTCCAGGGAACAGAGGCGGGTTGTCATTAATATCCTTCACCTCCACCTCCACATGGAAAACCTGCAGCGGCCTGTCCACGATCACCTCCAGGTGGATGCTGCACTCCGCGCTCCGCCCGCACAGCTCCTCCCGGTCGATCCGAGAATTCACAAACAAAATGCCATTCTGCAGATTTACCTCCAGAAGGTCCCCGTGGCCTTTGGACGCCAGTCGGAAAAGGCGGGGCACCAGCTCCGCCAGCTCCAGCCCCAGGTCCTGGGCGATGCGACCCACGAAGGTGCCGCGCTTGGCCTCCTCCGGGACCGAGTAGTGGATCTGACCGCTCCCTGCTTTCCAGGCTGCGAGGAACAGAAGAGAGAGCAACAAACGCCGGGATTCCTGGCCGCTTCCCCAGGAAAACTCCATCTCCAGCCCGCAGTGGTTTGTTTTCATCAAAGGATCTTGTTTCAAAATCAAGAAAAATCTAACTGTTCAGTCCAATGCCACTGTATCCTCCATTTCTCAGCGTCTGGATGCTGGATGCAGCTTCTTTATCAGAACCGAAGAGATTTTTTCTTTCTCTGTAAGATCAATTTTATGGTACAGAGCGACATCATGTGGCTCCAAACCTTAAGTAATGGATTCTGCTACCGATAAGTCTTACTCTCTCAGCCATTCCGCATACTTTAACGCCATTAGAAAAAAGAAACCCATTTTATACTTCTAAGTATAAAACACATTTTATACTGCTAAGGTCCATGTTTTGTACCGCTGATTGAGTGTGATCCTTAGTTTTACACAGGTGCAGCTTTTAGTTCACTGGAAATCCTTTTTTCATACAGGTTTTAAGTATTTATAGAGACCCAGCTGTAGTTAACATAAACTTTGTAAACATAGAATTGTTAAGCGTTGATTAGGAAAATTCATTACAGATTTTATGTGTTCTTGAGAATCAAGGAAAGTAGTTATTAATGGTGATACAGTCTTCATCTTTGGATTTCATACTCCTGGTGTGGAAGACTTGAGAGAAGTCTCCCATCTAGGAAACCTCCAATAACAAGAATAAGTCATTGAAAGGGAATTTTTAAAAATGTTCCAAAGGGACACCGGGGTGGCTCAGCGGTTGAGCGTTTGATTTTGGCTTGGGGCATGATCCAGGAGTCCCAGGATCTAGTCCCACGTTGGGCTCCCTTCAGGGAGCCTGCTTCTCCCTCTGCCTGTGTCTCTGCCTGTGTCTCTGCCTCTGTCTCTCTCATGAACAAATTTTTTAAATCTTTAAAACAATGTTCGAGAAAGGAAGCAAAAATCACCAGCATTTAACTGAAAGTCTCCATTAATTCATCTAAGGGCTGAAGGTTCAAGGAGTTTTATCAAGGAAGTAGCATGTTGTGGTATATAATTGGTGTGGGAAAGTATTGTACATAATTTTATTAACAAATACACTCACATCCCACAAGCAAGATTGGTATTCTTAATTTGTCTCTTAAATTTATAAATACTTGCCTGTTCTCCAATGTCTAACATGTATAAACTTCTATTTTATTCTACAGTGCTCATGTATTTTAGTGAAAGTGGACAATTTCCTGCTTTCAATAATATTTTTCACTGAGCAAGACATACTCATTTCATCCCCTAAGTACTGTTCACCATTTCCAAATACTTCATAAAGCAATTTCCCCCATTTTATACCTATTTAAAAATTTATTGACCTTTTCATAAAATGAAGACTTTCATGATTAAACCAATTGAGCAGGTACCTTTATCTTCCTTTATATACTATAGCATACAGATGGAATCACTTGGGTCATTTTTACATTAATTATCTCTGTTGTAGTCATTTGGGCATGTGTCTAATGACATAGGTGTCATGTAATAAGTACAAAGATCCAAATAATAGGAACCTTCTTTTATGAAATATAAACTTTTAAAGAAAATAGTTGTGTCTTATATTTTTTTAGTTTTTATTTGTTTTTAATTTTTATTTATTTATGATAGTCACAGAGAGAGAAAGAGAGAGAGGCAGAGACAAAGGCAGAGGGAGAAGCAGGCTCCATGCACCGGGAGCCCGATGTGGGATTCGATCCCGGGTCTCCAGGATTGCGCCCTGGGCCAAAGGCAGGCGCCAAACCGCTGCGCCACCCAGGGATCCCTTTTTTTTTTTTTTAGTTTTTAAAAGATTTTATTTATTTATTCATGAGAGACAGAGACAGAGAGAGAGGCAGAGACACAGGCAGAAGGAGAAGCAGGCTCCATGCAGGGAGCCCGATGTGCGACTCAATCCTGGGTCTCCAGGATCACACCCTGGGCTGAAGGCGGCACTAAATCACTGAGCCACCGGGGCTTCCCTGTGTCTTATAAGTTTAAGAGCTCAGAATACATACCTAGTATTTCCTGAATATTTACATATTAGAATGGTTTGGTTCTCTTCAATTGCCTAATAAAATGTATTCAATTAAGGTGGTCACAAATCTAATTAGGAAAATAATTATGTCTCAGCAGCAGCCTCTATAATTTTCCAGAGATGCAAAAATATTTTACTTGGACATTACCCTAATTAAGATATATTTCAATTTCCATATTGAAAACCTAGACTTGAGCTTAGTTTTCCTTCTAGTTCTTGGTATTCATGACCTTAGAGACATCCTGAGTTTTAAAAGTCAATGAAGAGGGCAACCCTGGTGGCTCAGAGGTTTAGCACCACCTTCAGCCTAGGGCCTGATCCTGGAGACCTGGGATCCAGTCCCACTTCAGGCTCCCTGCATGGAGCCTGCTTCTCTCTCTCCTCTCTGTGTATTCTCGTGAATAAGTAAATTAAAATGTTTATATATAAAAAATCAATGAAAAATTCTCGATAAATATAGCATAATATATTTTCCTGACATAAGGAGACTTAACATAAAAGGACACGATGATAATTATTTTCAAACTTTCTTTGCCTCTTATATTCATAAACCTCTTTCCCCCATGCTTGTTTAGAACAAAAAAGATCAATCTACTGAAAATAGCTTTAGGCTTCCATTCTATGAAGACCCACATTTACATACACACAAATATCTTTTCTGAATTAAAACATCAATCAGAAGAGATTCTCTGATTGAGGACCCAAACTGTAGATTTGCACAAAATGATTATACATGTCAAACACGCTGGAAGAAACTGAAAAAAAGAGTCCCTTTCCATTTACTTTACTTTGAAAATAACTAAATGTATAGATGAGGAATGCAGTAGAATATAAAGGATATTTTTGTGAGAACTATTAGTATTCATCTAGTATGGTAGCAATATGTCTCTAAGGAGAAAACTCAAAAGTCTTTAAAATATCTTATTAACGTGAGATCTTGTTAGTCAAGAATTTGAAAAAGAGCTCAATTTAAAGACTGAAGTCCCACATCCTGGGAAACAAGAACTTTGGATGACCCTATCAATTACAACACGATGAAAATGAGGCCTAATGAAATAACGTGTGAACTCAGGTTGGACATTCTGTGGCTAACACTTGATGGGCAGGGGCCAAAAAAGGATAGTGAGAGAGAAGGAAGTGAAAATGGGAAAAAAAGAGGATGATTTCTCTATTGTATATGTTAGCCTCAACCACAATATTACTGAGCATTAACCAGGTTTCAGAAAGTAAGCTTGTACAGGAAGTAGGAAGTCCCAGTTATAATCTGTGTAGAAAAATATTCCATATAATTGTATACACTGGAACCCAATGACCTCCCACAAGATTAGTATTCTCTTTTTGTCTTTCATTGTTTAGAAATAATCGCTTGTTTTCTAGTCTCTAATATGGCTAAGTTTCAGTTTCTAGTGCAAGGAAACTTGAATGGAAGTACATCTATTTGGAGAAATTATCAAATGCCAAATACAGAAATGACTACAAAATAATCTCATTTTGTTTTATTTGGTTCCAGTTATTTGGAGCTTTTATGTACTATATAACATTAATGGACAGATTGGCATTTAGAGGAAAGTTGCAAATAATATTAACTTATTGAAGTTTGGGGACATTAGCATCCTTAATACTGTTTGTGAAATAGGTTGATTAATAAGTTTGCTTGTAGAACTGTTTTTTAAATATTTATTTATTTATTTTTGAGAGCAAGCATGGGATAGGGGTAGGGGCAGAGGGAGAGAGAATCTTAAGTAGACTCCTGGCTGAGGACCAAGCCCCACTCAGGGCTGGATCTCACCACTCTGAGATCATGGACTAAGTGGAAACCAAGAGTCAGATAGATGCTTAACCAATTGCAATACCCAAAGCCCCTAATAGTTTTTAAATTAGATAAGGAGTAATATTCTCAACAAATTGTCCTGATGGAAAATAATCATAATAAAATTAATAACATACTTTCAAAACGAATATTTTCTAAATGATGATATGCTGAAGGGAATATAAAATTTCACTTCCTATTGATTTTTTCAATGATTACTAATAAAAGTAATGAGAAACTTGAGACAAAGATATGATTCTAAAGCAAAAAATTATTATTATGGTGTGTGTGGTTTTCTTTGCCCAACTAGAAAACTAGCAACAATACAATGTATTACCAAATGTGAACACAAAGACTAAAATAAATTATACTCAAGTAGAAAGAAAGAGCTTAGACTTCAGATAAATGAGTGAATAAAAGAGGCTTCTTAGAGACAACAGGCTTAATAAACTAATATTTGAAACTGAGGTTATAAAGTGGTGAGATTTATGGTGAACTCATAAATTGGGCCAGTAACATTTAGACCAACATCTAATAAGAATCCCAAATGAGAAGTGGCAAAAGGTATTGAAGTCTTGCGCAAAGATTAGTACAAATATTAGTACAGTACAGTACAGTACAGTTCATCAAGGAAAATACATTTAGTTTCTATCCATACATTAGCAATAAAATAATCCTACTATTGCACCTACTAACAACAACAAAAAACTACAAGTATGCTTCTTATTACTTATTGCTGATTCAATTAAAAAACGTTAGTCACAAGAAATTCAAACATTGTAACTACAAAAACCTGGAAAACTAATTACCAAAAACCACATGTCTCAAAAGAATAGAAACATTGAAGAATAAAAAAACAAGGACATTTTGAAAGGATTTTTTAAAAAGTACTTACTTTAGAAGAAAGATCAACCTCCACATTCAGCTGTTCTCTGTCTCCGCCAATGGGACCTGGTGGAAGGCTGGGGCTGAAGGCCATGAGGTCGGCCTTGGGCGGGCCCTCCCCAGAGCACACCCTCTGCCGCCTCTGCTGCGAGTACGACCAGCTCCCCACCGCGCTGGAGCACACCAGCGTGGGCTTCCCCGGCCCGCACGCGCCCTCGCTGGGCGGCGCCGAGCACCGCAGCGCCGTGGACAGCAGCAGCGTGAGCACCAACAGGCTGGACACCGCGCAGATGGCGACGATCAGGTACACGTTGACGTCCACCAGCGCCGCGCCCGCGCCCGCGCCCGCGCCCG